TTTGTCTTTGATTAGCTTTTAAAAACCTTTATTTGTCGATTATGCTACTTTCAGGGGAGCCGACGGAGTCTGTTCTTCTAGATAACAGTTCTTGTACGAAGTTTTTCCTGGGAAAGGGATTTTTAGCTACATTGTTGACAATCTCACAAGAAAATGCGATGCCCTTCCTTTAAAATAATTTTGTTTCTGGAAAACGTTTTTAAGGTCAAAAAAGGCTTATATAACGTTTTTATTGTCAAAGACGCGAAGCTTTGAAGGTTATATTAGAATAGCCTTCGAATATTGAAATATTTAGCTTCAAAGGTTATTAATATTTGAAATGAATTTGGATATACTTTATTATATTTTTCGAGGTACCCTTCGTTGTAAAGTAGTCACACCGACTGTCTGGTACCTCATAACATATGCACTAACATTAAAAATGATATAAAGTATATCCAAATTATTATTCCATTGCTAATACATAGACCATTTGGATTACATTACATGATAGCGGAGCTCCCGCGCGGGCCGAAGGCCCGCGCGAGCGGAGCACCATAACTAAGGAAAAATGGTAAACCCATGAGGTTGAGTTTTGATCAACCGACACAGGAAGCCCAGTTGTCCGTACGTACGTACGTACGTACGTCCGTGTACATCGCGATTCTGATTGGCTACTTTTGAGAAGGCGGGAACAGGAAGCGCGCTCGCGTTAATATTTTTGTCCTTTCAAATACTTTACTTATCTGCGCCAAATGTCGGAAAATGAACGGGTAGCTAACGGAAAGCGATCTTTATCTGAAGAAGAAAAGACAAGAAGAAGAGAAAGAGAGCGTCGAAGAAGTCTAAGTGAAGAACAACGCAGGCTTGAAAGGGAAAACGTGAGAGACGAAACAATTAAGAAGTTTATTAAGACTCAAGCAAATCGAGAAACAAGTGAACGCCAAAGACAACGATTATTGATGGAGAATTTCTCAGAGGAGAAGTGACATATTCTCCGACGATACCGTGGCGTTATTAAACAAATGGCGGTATGTTAGATTATATGTGCAAGCGGTTTTTGGTGCTCAAATTAAG